CAGAATTCGTCGGAAAGTTCAAACACCGTTGTACAATTTTCCTTTTTATTAGCTAAATGGTGTCGTCGATTTGTGATGTACAGTAATTATAATATACATTCATAATAATTATTATAAATAAATGTAAGTACATACATATTATAATATAGCATATTATAATATGAAGTATTTCATAATCGCGTGTGTTGTACCATGTAATAGTGTGTGTATACAATTTAGGTAGATAGTTATTTATTTTGTTTCTTTTATTGTCTGAATTATTAAAATAAAATATATTATTATATGATAACATTATTCTTTGTCAACATGTTGAAAAAGAAACTAAAAAAATTTTTTTAATTAATTCAATAAACAAAAATTGAACAAATTATAGAAAACATTATGATATTATTATTGATTTTTTTTTTACGTTTATTGTTTGGAGAATCCGGTCCGCCTGGCTACTGGCTAGTTGGTTCTAATAATGCATATCTAAATACTTAAAAACCGACTCGAATGAAAAATTCAAGAAGTAATGAAAAAAAATTAAAAATTTTGTGTTTATAGAATTTTTTTGAGAGAAAAATCTACCAAACAAGTCATATTTTTACTTTTAAGTGTAAAACAAATGCATCGACGTACCTAGTTTTCRTGTGTATATAGAACAGTTTTMTAGTTTAAGAAGACACCACATCCGCATAAGTTGTCTCCGTCTTAAAAGTGCGTAACATAGCAAAAACTGTTTCGCTCAAAAAAGAACCGAGAAAGCAACAGTTACCTATAACTAAAAAGTGATATTTTCACTTCGTTTTGCCATATTACTCGTATAAAGAGGAGAATTTATTGGTTTGTGTAATATCGCTTTTATTTTTTCGATATCAGATAACTATACAAAAAAGTTATTCAAGCTTAAAAAACACAAAATGTATTATGAAACAATAACAACTTTTTTTGTATATAAGTGATATCAAAAAAATAAAAACGATATTGCACAGACAAAATTCTGAAATATCTAAAATAAGAATTTTTAAGGTTGGACTTGAGAACTCTCTCATACTATATATATATTCACTTTCTGGGTATTTTTTTTTTCAAGAAAACTTCTATATAAATGCAAATATTCAATTTAGTATTTAATATAGGTACCTACCTTTTTTTTCCGTTTGAACCGGCCGACAGCGCCGCGGGAAAAACTTTCGCATTACTGCCGCCATCGTTTATTTGAAGACAAATAATTATACATACGGGGGGTGGGTTATACGGGACAATCCCCCGACTTACCCCCTTTCAGTTTTCATACATTATACAATAGTAACAAATTACATGTTTGACTGCATCCGCTTCCTGTCCAGATTTTATAGACCGGAGWCCACCGCGCTGGTAAGCTCGTGCCAGTCGTCGTCCACTTCGCGAACCCACCGCAGGTACTCCGCTCTGGATATCTCGTTCAACGATCCGGTAGGTCGTTCYTTCCCTAGCTAGTGTCATCGGTGGGGATGAACAACGTGGTCGGTGACACTTCCGATCCGACGAATAGCAGTTGCGAGTTGCGCAGTGTGTCTCGAAGTGTAGTATTTAATATACCTAATATATACTTTTAGTAATATCCATTTTTTTTTTAAATCGTTAAAATGAACAAATTATTTATAAAAATAAATGGTAATAATGTATATTAATTTTGGTATTGGCACAAAACATCCAAGGTCAAAATATCTGACGGTTAACCAATGTCGTCGTATAACACAAAACATCCAAAAAAAATAAAAATAAATATTAATTTAAAAAACCTGTTTAAACAGGTAATATAAAAAAATTTGATATTTTTTTTAATTAGATATTTTTTTAATCGCAGCAGCAAATATAATACGTTAGTTCATAGGCGGCACTTGGTAGAAACTTATGTGGGTGCAAACGTTTATGGTAATAACATTCACAAATCCATAGGGAAGTTGCCCCCCCCCCAGTACTCCCTAATATATAACTATTACTACAACAAATTTAGTTAAAAAAATTCTTTATTAATAACTATTAATTAGGTCTCTGTATTTCAAATATTGTACATGAATATGTAAAAATATTATTAAAAAAACCTTTTTATTTTGACATAAAYAATATGATAKATTCCTGCATTATTTTATTATTATTATTATCATTTTAACATTTAATCACGGACTAAGATTTTAGTCCGTACAATTAATAATTGAGTAATCAGATTTAAAATATTGAGATGATCCATGGTTATTTTTTATTATCAAAATTACATTACATCAGTATAATTGTTAACAATAAAATAATTAAATTATTTTTTAGTGTTGTTATTGTCTGTGTGTGGGTGCAAAATGATACTTTTGCCCCCCCCCCTCCCAGCAAAATTGTCGTGGGTGCAACTGCACCCTCATGCCCCCCC